TATCTTTGTTTTCTGGTGATTTTAGTGGTTTTGCCTTCTGTTTCAAGGCTTTTCAGCGCAACACTCCAATTGCCGCGTTATCTTTCCTGTTCGATTTTGCCTCTGTGCTTTTTGTCGCACTCTTGCTTGCTGTTCTGTAATTAGACACTTCGTCTGCTTGGTCCTGTCACCACGTAATGCGCAAGCCGTGCCTTGTGAAACTAGCTATGTGCTCATATCTGTTACTTTCGCTTACCACAGAGCCGGCATTCTGGAGGAACTGATAGGGGAGGGACCTGAACACGAAAAGGTGGCTGTAACAGCCGCCTGCTCAAAGGCCCGTGATCAATTCCCTCATGCAGCGGGAACAGCAGCGTTTGCTGCAGGTAAATTAATTTACAGCAGGAAGACATGGAGAGAATCACTCAAGAAAGCCATATCTAAATTCTAGAGCTTGCAACTGTCTGCATCGCGACCCCTGGGTTGAAGACTCGCGTAGGGAACACTGGAAGGAAACTTTTTGCATGCCTAAAAGCTAAAGAATGAAGCCTTTTCAACTTGTAAAGCACCTCGATTACCCACCCAGGCTTCTCTAGTAATGTCCCTTGGTTTGGGTGAACATGCAGCGAATGGAGATTGGCCCTTCACTCGTTGGATTGCTTTAGAGGTTCTGAAACAAAAGTCCCGTGGTACCGGTAAGTTACGGATCCTCCAAGTATTTACATTTTGTTTACAATAGGAGGGGCAGAATAATGGCCATTTTTAAGGGTTTCTTTGCACTTTGTAAGTGCGTTCATGCAGCGTTCCAAGCGCGGATTTGTTTATTTGCGCTGACATTACAGTGTCGAATTAATTCAAAAGCGAAGAATAAATGTTTTGTTCATTCTCTTGATGTGCTTTTTTTCTTTGCTCTGTTTTTTACATGGCTCGGCTGCATCGGCTTCCGAATCTTCTCCAGCACATAAGCCTAGCCCTCTCATTGTGGGCATCACGGGGCCTCAAGGATGTGGCAAGACGACACTCTGTGCTGCCTTAGTGGTTAGGCCAGTCAAGTCAATCGTTGCTGCTATTCATCAGTAGTAGTGTTGATAGCAGCAGCAGCAGTTACACCGTCAGCGGCAGCACTTATATTGGTCACAGTCTTCATACCTTTTCTTCTTCTTGATCATGCTTTACTCTGTCCGCCTGTTCTCTCTGTCTCCTAGCAATCACTTTGGCTTCTGTGTGACATTCTTGTCTGCAAACTTGTATTTTCCCAAGCTGTGTTGCCTGTTTCTTGAGCTTTGAATATCGACGCTGTAATTGTTTGCAGGCGGGTCTGCGCACCTTGGGTGTTAAGGCCGCTGCGGCCTCAATGGATGATTTCTACTTGCCAACTAAGCTACTGCCCCCTGTGATATTTACGGATGCCACTAGCTCCAGACCAAGGGTCCTCCCGCGGCGGGGGCCCCCAGGGACACACGATGTTTCCCTCTGTGTGGACGTGCTAGAGCGCATTAAGGAAAGAAACCCGTACATCTTTGTTGCCGCTGCGGCTGGATTAAAAAGAAACGGCCTCTGTGTGCTTGCAGGTAGGAAAGAGACGTTTACACACTTCATGCTTAGGGCCTTCTGCAGATAGTGTTGTGAATTCTTTGTAGGAAAATCCTCCTTCCAAAATATGACAAAAGCAAAATGCATGGCGCCGGTGACAGGACGGAAGCAGCGGTGCTTCTAGATGCAACTGATCTTGATGTTTTCCTGTTGGAAGGATGGATGCTGGGTCAGTCTCAGTCTCCCACGGCGCCCGCCCTTGTTTTCCTTGGTGCATAGTGGGAGGCAGTAGTAACATGATAAAGTTCGTGGCGCTGGTTATTCTGTAGCTCCTGGTGCTGCTGCTGCTCCATGAAAACGTCAAACTGTACTTTCTATAGGCATTGGTGGTGGAGTTTGCCTTACTTGCCTTCCTATTGGCGCAGAGTTAGTGGAAGCTCAACACTAACTTGCGTGCATGCATCCCAGCGCCTCCACGGTTGTTGATGCGTAGAGAAGTATAAGAGAAGTATAAGCATGTGTCTGTACTTTGAACACATTTACTAATAGGCCTTGAAGCGTAATCAGTGCCTTAAAAGCTTGCGGTTTATCACTAATTGTTATTGCCACTCTCTCATTCTGTATTGCGTTGCCACGGGCCGAGTGAAAGCTTGTACATTCCAAATTTGCGTGTGTGTATAGGGTTTCGTCGATTGGATCCGCAAGAGCTGACAGCGACGGCGTACAACTTGCCCGAGCAAGAACAAGCAGAGCTGCGTACAATTAACGAGTTCGTCTGGCGCTGCTGCTGTCAAGGCTTCTACGTGCGCTGCTGCTGCCAGAACTTCTGGCCAGCGTATAAGAAGCGCTTTAACTTTGGAAAATGACTTACAAAAAAGAGACTCACTGGTTGAAAACGTCCAGTCGGAAGAGAGTGCGCCAACACGAAAGTTGTCCTTAGCGTTTTGTGATTGCAGGGCACTGAAAGATTATGAACGCCTCTACTCATTTGTTGATCTTTGGCTCGTCCTAAAGGCAAGCAATGGCAGTGCAGCCAACAGTCAGATGATCACGACAACACTTACAGTCATTGTACAGTTTTGCGTGTCACCCCAAAGAACTGCCCTCAGCTTCATTGTATCTTTTGCATCAGGTGGAAACAGCGAATTGGGTCTACAATTGGAGGAGGCAGCAAGAAGAGTAGGCAAGCCTTGCAGACGCTTAAGCTAAACCTGGAACAATGGGCAGTTGAGCCTCTCAAACTGCATGGCCAACTGAAATATACAAAGAATGCCTTTTACTGCCAACTGCTTCAGGGACACACGGAGGAACACTGGATCCGGGCTTACTGCTGACGAGGTTGATGGTTTTGTTAACAGGTGAGCCTTTCATGCTGCGCATTTGCAGGGCGTGCACCCGTCTGCTTCACTCTCACGTTTTCTTCTGTGTGTAATGTAATTTGTATACGTCAACGTCTTTTCAATTCTGGGCAAAAGCTGCACTTCATACGTAGACTGACAGCCATGCGAAGCTACTATGTATCTATTGCCAAGGTATATGAGACCACGGCGCATGTGTTCCTCACACTGGAAATGCGCCCTCGTCATGTGCAAGCCCTGCTATAACCTTGTTCCATTCTTGTGTTGTTGCGCAAGCTCCATTGGCTACCGTGGCATGCTTGGTGAAGCATGACGGTTTTTTGAAGTTAGAACTTCATTGCATGTGCTTGTTGAAATTTCATGAACCTCCACAGGTTGCAAGAGACGAATGCTTTGCCATTCTGTCTGTGGCTGCATAGGTTTATGCCACTTTACGCGGTTTACCTTCCCGGGCTTTACGCAAATCCACCTCTTTCAGGGAAGGATCCTGGGGGCCGCTCTTGTCTTCTAGTTGAAGTCACAGAGAAGCGAACCATCAAAAGCGCCGCTTTCCTCTGAAGGCTTCTTTCTTCACCTCCATCCTCTCAATGCCTGACCCTTTGCGCAGCTGTTCCATCTCTCTGCGTGCCTGCCCAGCTACACCGCAGCCACGTACACTTGTGTGTGTGGTTTGGTCTGCTCTTGTCACAAACACTACTGTGTCTCTAATGGCCTCCGCTCTAGTGAGTTGATTGCCTGCCAACTGTTCACCCACAAGCAATCCTTCAGCTTCCCCTGCTCTCTTTAGGAATCAGTGCACTCATCAGCCTCTGCAGTGGCCACAGCAGTTTCACCGCCACCACCGCAAGCAATGCTGCTTCGCACCAAAATGCAGTACTTCCTGCTTTCACCTATTCTGTGATTCCGTATATTCTCTATAAGTCACGTGTACGCAGACTCATGCTTGTGTCTAGAGCCCAGGCTCTTCCTCCCTCTTCAAAACCGGCACACCTTAAGCAAGAGGTCAATGTTCCTTCGATGCATCCCTTTGCGCTCCCAAAGGCACACTCTGTGCAAACTGGGCAGCCCATTAGGACACCGGAGTGCACGTAAAAATTGTGCTGTGTCCAGTGTTTGTGCTATGTAGTGGCAGCAGCAAAAGAAAGCACAGAAGACCATGTCATCTTGGTTACTTCCATTACCACTTGTTGAGCTAGTGAGAAAATCTGTGGCGCAAAGGCGGCCCCAAAAAGGCCACAGTTACTGTGAACACGTGCACAGCTGCTTGAAGCAGCACAATGCACCGTGCACACGCGAATGAGCATGTTCCCATGTAGCGAACATACATGTGACCGCCGCGCACATGCATTAAAGGCAACGCATTTGCACACTGGCCCTGCATTCGTGCCTATCTCTTTGAAATGAATGCGACCGCACGCAGGGATACAAGGAGGCCCGCCTTTTCGCACATGAACAACTGCATACGTGTTAGCCCCCAGTGTAGAGACTGCATACGGAAAGCTCCCCAAATGAAATCTGAGCAAAAAAGACCAGGGGTCTCCGCGGTGACCTTTACGTCAGTTGATACCTTGTGTCTGCATGCGTGCATGCAGACATGCGTAAGTAGGCAAAATGCTCTTGTTAAGGCATGCATGCAACAATGCACACTGCTTTCACCCGTCTAACAACGGTTGCCTGCACCATAGGGGCGTTGCATACATGAGAATATGCATGTCAATTACGCATGTGGAAGAGCCTGCAAGTAGATAAATATGCAGTACTGCAAACACGCACTCCAGCTACTCAGCTGTCGCGCAGCTGCGGTGTAAAGTTCGCAAGCTGAGCCCGCGAAAAACTGCATGCATCGAGTACCACGCAATGGCGAGCTGCTGCACGCATGCATGCAACGGCCTGTGCCGCATGCGTGTACAGCCCCAGAGTCAATCCCTCACTCCGCTGCCTGGTTGCTGCGTCAGGAATGCCCGCACGAGCTGCCCCTCGCGTCGCATGAATGTCTGTGTGCAAGTGTACATACGCGCATGCACGCATGCATGCATGCATGCGGGGTTTCCTGCAGCAAAGAGCCTTCGGCAGCAGCAGCTGGTGGCGCTGCTGCTGCAGAAGGCCGGAAAGAAGCGCCTGAGCGCGCAGCTAAAAACTAAACAGTCGGGAAGCACACACATAACGGCCCCCCTCGAGATCTTCTTCAACTGCATCGGGAGTTTCGGTGGTTTCTTCCTGCGCCGCTGCTGCCGCGGAGCCGTCTGCTGCAGTGATGGCAGCAGCAGCAGCAGCAGCAGCAATGTCCCGCCGGAGAATGCTCAAGACCCCCCCCACTTCGTCGTCTTCAGAAGCCGACTGGCCCTCGTGTTCAGCTTCGTTGTCTGCAGAGGAATCCCCCACTGCGAGAGTGTCGGACACGAGAAGGCCGCTGGAACTTCGGTGCACAGGCTCGAGAATGGCCCGCCATTCCTCTCCTGCTTCCAAGTCGCTCATTTCCGAGTGGCCTTGGCTTTCCTCTTCCACGGAGTGGCCCACCTGCGTGTTGTCGCGGCTGGGGTTGCCGGACTCTGTGTCGGGGAGGAACTCCCTGACTTCTGCGGGGCCAAACCTGACGCTGCGGCCGCGGATGAGGGGGGGGCAGGTGCTGTGCCGCGGGTTCAGCGAGTTTGCTGCAGCAGCAGCAGCAGCAGGCGCCGAGCGGCCGTTCGGCGCTGCGCCGGACGCGCCGCCTGCTGCTGCTGCCTCGCCACCTGCTGCAGCCGAGTCCGCAGCCGCCAGCGCTGCTGCAGGCGCTGCTGTTGGGCAGCTGTGGTGCTTCCTTTGGTGCCACAGCAGCCGCCGCGTGAGTCCACTCTTGCTGTCCGAGGAGGACGGTGGCAGGGCCTCTGCTTGCTGCTGCTGCGGCTGCGGCGGCTGCTGCTGCTGCTGCTGCTGCTCCACGCTGCTTCCTGTTTTGCTGCCCGAGCAAAACAAGTGCTTCCATCTGCTCGTCCCCGTGGCAGCCTTATCTCTGCTCGGCTCCGAAGACAGGCTGCTGTTGCCGAGGTCTGCAGCTGCAGCAGCGGCCTCACCGCCTGTGGCCCGTATACATTTCTGCATCACGGCGCAGCAGGGGATTTCAGGTTCGTGCTGCTGTTCGTGCTGCTGCCAATGCTCTTTTCTTCTCCCGCAGCAGCTGAATGAGAACTAGGAGAAGGTGACAATCTACGCACTGGTGAGAGCGCCGCGCAACACGACCGGGCCGGAGGTTGCTGCAGCAGCTGCTGCTGTTGCAACCGTTGCAGCGGAGAAGCCAATATGAAAAGGCATAGAAAAGACGGTGTGTGGCATCAAACGAAGAGATGTTGAAAAAAAAGAGAGAAATACAGTGCAGCAGAGCGGCAGCCGGTTAATGCCTCTCCCTGCGTCCGTGGTGGCGCTGCTGTCGCCGCCACGCAAGACCTAGGAGATACAATATTCCAAACACTCACAGCTCACCAAAACAGGCTTGCCATGTGGAAATCGAACAAAGAATCGGAGGCGGGAGAAGCCGACTTTCCGTGAAAACCCACGCGTCCTAGCAGCAACACCAGAACAGTAGTAGCACGCAGCACCGCGCACACCGTGAATCCGAGGGCTGAAAAGTTGTACTTACTAAGTCAAATAGACACGGAGAAAGGAGTAGTTTGTTCTTGCTACAAACGAACGGGAATGCTATTTGCTTCCGCAGCAACTCTTGGGGACCAAATGGCCCAGAGAGAGGGCCAAGAGCGGAGACGGAGATCGAAACCCATTGGTGTTACGGAGGCGCGTTGGCGGCCCCCTCGCTAGCTACAGGCCATCAAACATTAAATTGAATATAAAACATGAAGAGCTTGACGCTCGGTGTGTTTTCTTAGGTGGCAATACAGTGGAAGGCACACTCCGGGGACATCCGAAATGCTGGGTTAGGAAGACTGCTACACACTGTCACACACCTGCTGTCTGCCGTTGCTGCCAGCCACAAATGCGCAACCACTGCTGCTGCTGCTGCACCAGCAACTAGGAGAGAGCGTGTCTTTGTGTCTTTTAGTTGCTTTATGCCATTCTAGTGCTCTAAACCGGCGGACGAGCGCAGCGCTCGCGCCGTTTCCAGCTCTTCCTCGGGGCCCAGCTAGACAACGAACAGCAGCACTTAAGCACGCAGCACATTTGAGCTGCTCTGTAGGTTTGCTGCTGAAGAACCAGCAGCAGAGAGCAGCAGGAGGAGCGGCGTAGCGCGAACGGCGCCCACAGCAGCTGCAGCAGTCGGAGCAAACCTGCAGCAGCAACACTGAGTCACAATGCTGCACTCGCGCCGCCTGTCTCGCTGCATCTGTATCCTGATATTTCTGGCAACAACAGCCAAACGGGCCGAGACTGCAGCAGCAGCAGCAGCAGCTGCCGAAGCACTTACCAGCATTCCAGACATCCCACTATGTGGATCTCCCCCGACGCACGCGTGCGTGCTACAGCAAGCTGCTGCTTTGCAAGACTGGGGCACAGCAGTTCGCCGCCAGCTGCATAGACACCCCGAGCTAATGTATGAGGAGCTGCAGACTTCAATCCTGGTGCAGCAAGTGCTCACAGTGAGGCCTTCCCCAGTCGCGTCAACAGCAGCAGCAGCAGCAGCAGCAACAGCAGCACAGGCAACAGACGTAACAGCTGCTTCTCTTGCTGCTGCGCCTCTCTCTAAACTCCGCCTGGGCACCATCACCGCTGCCTTGACATTCGCTACTGCATGCAGCTCCTGCCGTGCTCATATCAGACCTCGGCTTCCTGCTGCTGACTCCGCTGCTGCTGCTGCTGCTGCTGCAGAAGTTAGGTATAAAGCACACGACGGGCTGGGGCCGGGATCGCCGCACATCTCTTGTTGACGAGTCGCTGCTGGAGCCCTCGACTGAGCGAGGAGATGCTGAAGACCTTCAGAAGCTGCAGGAACTGCAGCAGCAGCAGCAGCAGCAGCAGCAGAAGGAAGCAGGAGTTGTAGGCACGGGAGTTGTTGCTGAGATTGGAACTGGCGAGGCCCCCTGTGTCTTGCTGCGAGCTGATATGGATGCGCTGCCAATAGTGGAGCAGGTGCTGTCAGTGCTGCCTGTGGCCGTTTGCTTCGCTTGCTGCTGCAGCTGAGATCTTTTCCACGAAGTAGATCGAGTTCTTTCTTTTATCGTGGCTGCTGCTGCTGTTGCTGCTGCTGCTGCTGCAGGCTGATGTCGGCTTCAAGTCCGAAGTTCTCGGGAAAATGCATGCGTGCGGCCACGACGTGCACACCACTATGCTTCTTATGGCTGCAGCTATTCTGAAGAAAAACGAGAGTTCTTTGAAGGTTTGCACAACTGGAGTTTCCAGCTTAGCTGCTTTGCATATTTAGTGTTTTAAGACAGGAAAGTTAGCCTTTTTGCTGCTGCTGCCGCCACTTTCTCGGGCTCCCGCAGCAGCAGCGTTGCGGGCAAGTGCAAGTCCAGCAGCAGCAGCAGCAGCAGCAGAGGCTGCAGTGAACTGCTTGTGCTTCTCCCAACAGGGCACAGTCCGGCTGGTGTTCCAGCCTGCTGAAGAGGGAGGCGAGGGGGCCCGCATGATGCTAGAAGAAGGCCTGCTGCAGCAGCAGCCAACAGCCAGCCTGGCTCTGGGTTTGCATGTTGCACCGCAGCTGCCTACGGGGACTATCGCCTCCAGAGCAGGAAACCTCATGGCTGCCACTGCAAGGTGATAAAGCTGTTTCGCCTCCACTAAGGGCGGCATAAGATAATTAGAAACACCGAAGCTTTCCAGAACTTTTGTTTTTGAATTAAAACGCGAAATGAACTTCCTTCCTATCAGTATCAGGTCCTCAGCAAGCCTTTTGTGTATCTCTCCATCCATACGACTTCGTTTTCCCGCCTCTTTGTGTGCCCTTATTGCGGCATTCTTATTCGTCTTGTATTCTGTATCTTCTGCGCTGTTTCCTTGTGTTTGCGCTTTTACTTCTGTCAGCTTTACGCTGTGTTCCTTTATCGATTTCTTTTTTCTGTGCTATTAACTCTGGCTTCTTCTCCCGGCTAACCTTGCCTTTCCTCCCTTTGCATGTATTTTGTTTCATTTATGGTGTTTGTGCAGCTTTCACTTCGAGGTCGTGGGAGTTGGCGGCCACGGCGCAATGCCATTTGAGACACACGACCCAATCGCTGCATGTGCCGCCGCCGTGCAGAACATAAATACGTTTGTAGCAAGAGAAAATGACTATTCAGCGGAGTCCTCCGGATTTGTCTCAGTCACGCAGATCCAGGTTAGAGAGACACAAATTCCCTTCCGCTCACTTCCAAGTGTTATTTCTGCATGCCTTAGCCACTCGAGGCGTGGAGGGCGAGCACTCCGGAAGCATGATATTCACAGCAGTAAATAGTAATGCTAATCAGCGGCAAGTGGAATACTCGCAGGGTGGCGCAGAAAAAGGAGTTTTGCGCGCAGCCAATGAGAGTGAGATCTACATGTAATAAGTTGAAACAGGGGCGGTGGGGCGATTGTAGAATGCACCTGTGTGTCTCACGTGTCTTCTAGGCGGGCAGTGCCTTCAATGTCATTCCATCTAAGTGCACACTGAAGGGAACTATTAGGGCTTTTAGCAACGAGAAGCTGCGGGAGCTGCAATTACGACTCCGCCAAGTGGTCCAACACACAGCTGAAGCCTTCCGTTGCAGCTTACGAGTCATCCGTTTGCTTACCAACACGCCAGCACTTCGTGTGCATCCAGAGGCTCTGGCTGTTCTTCACGAGGTATGTTTTGTTGCTGTGGCTGCGCGGCAGGGCTATTGCTGCTGCGGTGCTGCAGCTGCGCGACTTTGTTCGTAGCTGAAATGGCTGTTTCAAATGGCCTCACTGCTCCTGCTGTTGTCTTGTACTGTTGCTTCTTTGTTGCTGTTGCTGTTTGCCGTGCCTGCCTGTCGCCTGCTGTTGTGTCTGTGCCTGGGCAAAGCAACATGCTGTGGCTTGCTGTGCTGCATTGCCTGCTGATTGTCAGGCTGCCCCTGGAATAGTTGCGGGCGGTCAAGTTATTACAATGGAGCCGACCTACGGTGGCGAAGACTTTGCCTTTGTGCTGGACAAGCTCCCTGGAGCATTTGCGTTTATCGGCATTGGGTGCGTTTTCAGTCGTGTGCTGCCCTCGCACTTGCCGTTTCATTTGTTGTTTCTTCGATAGAAACATCATTGATAGTTTTGTTTGGCTCATCTCCCGCCACTGACAGCGAGTTGCTTCTTCGCAGCCAGAGTAAACGTGCCAATAATGTCCGTTTTCGTGGTTTTGCATAAATGGCCTGGCTCTACCACTTTTCGGCTCTCTTTTCCAATGAATTGAAGGCACATCTCTGGCTTCTTTGGAGGCTTTGCTGTTTGTTTCCCAGTCTCGTGCTGTTTGGTTCCTGTTACTGCGCCACTTGTTCCCTGATGTTATGCCATTTGTTTCCTGATGCTGTGCTATTGGCGACGTGCTCAGGAGCGGCGCCGAGAAGGCAGGACATGTCCCAACAGCCTTTGGGCTGCACCACCCAAAGTTTGCTGCAGATGAGGCAGTGCTGCAGGTGGGGGCAGCACTTGAGGCAAAGTTTGCTTTCGAAGCTATCAAGCACTTGCTGCAGCAGCAGAAGCCACAGGGCCAGCATATGCCATCGCAGGAACCACAGCAGCAAAAGGAGGAGCTCTAGTGCGGACGAATCTGATGGACTGAGTATATGTTAAATGCCCCAAAGAATGAAGGGCTGTGCGATAATGATCTGCAATTTGTCGTTGCAAACGTGAACATCTCTGGCGTGGCGATGCTGCAGCAGCGCGAAAAATATGTAGTGTTTCTCGGCGCGCGGAGTAGCGAAATAAAGTCAGTTTGATGCATCACGTTAATTTCCCTTTTTAAATCGACTGGTTTGGCTGCCTTTTAAACTGTTGTAGAGAGGGTGGTGCCAAAGAGCACCTTACCTGAGATGCGCATTAAGTTTCAGGCCATCCATAGATTTAGAGAAGCAGGTTAGATCATTCGAGAGCACAGCAGAGCTTGGAATGAAACAAAGACGAATTTGAAAGAAATGAGGATGCCAAAGAAGTCTCTAGTCTCTTCCTCACCAGAATAGCAGCAACAGCGAATGACGGCTTCTTTATGAGCATCCAGAGGTCCCAGTAAGGGCGTAAACTAAAGAAAAACGCAGTATGCACTTGCAGCAAACCTGTAAAATAGCCGTATAGCCACAAGTTTAAACGCCCAGCTGTTTTTGACTCAAATAAACAGGAACTGATCTTGCCAACGACACGAAGTGCAGTTTGACAGCACGCCGAAGTGACCAGTGCTGCAGAAAACGCAGAGAACATATTGTTCTTCACATCCGGGTAATTTCAGAAGGCAACACATCGATAGGCGCAGCTCGCTGCTGCACCTCCCTGCAGTTTAGTGCACTGTGAAAAAAGAGCAACATGAGTGGTATCATTATTGCGTTTTTGGAGTTCCCAGGCGCCGTCTAGTTGCTTGAAACGGCTGCTTCACTGCTGGCGAAGTCCACGCACGTCGAAGCCCCAGAGCTAGATGGGGTTAGACAAGCCATTCACTTGAAAATAGCTGTGATCTTGTTTACAATTGGCAAATGCTCACTGGATTTTCAAACCATGCAAACAAAATTTTTGGGCCGATTCATTGCAAGGATTCAGTTAAGATTGAAAGGACAGGGGATAACGCAGGCTTCGGGGGGTTAAGCGCAGTCGCCACGCACATTCTGCATGAAGACTACATGCGTAAGAGGGTCCCACTAGTTGGGCACCTCATGATCTTGTTAAGTCAGCTTTGAAGTGCTTATCGTCGGTGTTCTTTCTCCATATTTAGCGCTGCATCTGCTGCTTTGTACATATGAGCACTCCATGCTGCATCAGGCACAGTACCTCACTGCTCTGTTTGGGTGCAAACAAAAATCTCAAGCCCTTTCTTTTGCTGACATGCTGTTCGTACTGGTGATGAGGAAAAATCCCAAGCCCTTTCTTTTGCTGACATGCTGTTCGTACTGGTGATGAGGGAGCCTTCCGCAAACGTACGATAGTGCACGAACGGCGTCACGGCTGACTTGGCTGAATTTGCAGCACGGTCTGTGATTCGTGCTCAATTTTAATGCTGTTTTAATTTCCCTTTTGCAGAATTGGTTGCAGATATGTTGCCAGAAGGTAGCAAGTAGGCATAGAGCTGCATGTTATTAATAAGAAATGGTTGCAGAGGTGTTCAAGTGAGATCACGATGCAGAGTTTCCAAAAAAACACGAATTAGGTAAACGAATTTCTGGTCAATCCGACACCCGTGACTTTATACTCTAACTGGCTCAAAGCTTTAGAAATGCCGCAGCAAGTATGATTCGGCAAGCATGCTGCTAACTACTACCCCTAAAACTAAGAGCAGTCTGAACCAATATGGCTTCAACTCAGTGCATCATGCATGCATGTTGTCCACACGTGGTGATGTCTTGCATTGCGTTTTACATTTAAGAGCTTCATTCCATGCCAGACTGCACAGGCTGACCCTCATCCCTGCCTTTACACTTGTTCACTGTGATCGCTAAACCATTAAGCGAAATCACTACTGCTTTTTGTACCTTTTGTTGGTAGATACGTTGAAATGGAGCTCCTGCATAACGTCTGTTGCAGCAGATTGCTGTAGTGAAGCGCTTTGCTTGAATAAACATACGAAACATGTGCTCTGTGTGTCTAAAATAAACTAAATAATCCAATTCTTTATGCAGCGGCCTTCATCCCCGGTCTCCGACGGAAAGCAGTAAACCTTACGGCATGGCCGTGGCCACAAAAGTTCGCATACCTAGTTACTGACAAGAGAAAGCTGGATGAAGCTTTCCATACGGCCAGTGTTTGAAAAATGAATAATATTAATGCAAACTGAAAAAAATCAAGCCGTCGATACGGCGCGTGTGTTCACGCGCTTCTGTACTAGCACAAAAGCAAGGGCCAAGCCACAGAACTACTCAGTGCAACCCAGTGCATCTGTCAAAACAAACCCCTAAGTTCACGTACGCAGCATATAAGACCCTGCTGCTGCCTCTGCTGGCCTCTTTGCCGGTTCATAAACTTGCGGAGGCAAGCTGCCGCTGCAGCTGTTGTTGCAGCGGCTGCTGCAGCTGCTGCTGCAGCTGCAGCGGTTTCGGGAACTTGGGCGGGCTGCACGCTAATGCACTCGGCGCTCTCGCAGGAAGCGGAATTCCTTGAGCCAGGGGTGGTCGAGTGCTTCTCTGGGTGTCAGGCGATCAGCTGCTTCCCAGCAAAGGCATCCTGATCGAAAGCAGAAAATAAAAGCGGAATAATAAAATTTAATATCATAATCTTAAACTTTACAAGGTGAATAAACCAAATAAGGCGCACTAGCAGGCGTCTGCGTTGCAAGGTGAACAGAACTGCATGCTGGGGGCTTCGGGTGTCTGCTGCTTACCCTTTAGGAAATCGACGAAAGTAGCTTCTGCCGGCTCTACAGCTTCTTCGAGGGAAAGGTACTGGTGTGGGGCTCTGCGGGTGCTGCTGCTGCTGCTGCCGGCGTTGCTGCTGCGTCTGGGGCGGCTGAAGGCGCGGAAGACGAGAGCGCCCTCCCTGTTTCTTTCGAAGAAGAAGCCGCGGCGGGGCGAACGGAGAACCAGCTGCAGCGGGGGCATGCCGAGGACTGCAGCAATTGTCTGCAGCTGGTCAGACTCGTCAACCCCCGGAAAGAGCGGAGTGCCCGTGTGCAGCTCCGCCAGCACGCAGCCCAAAGACCACATGTCTATGGGGGGCCCGTAGGGGAGCCCCAGCAGCACTTCGGGGCAGCGGTAGTACCTGGACTGAATGTACGCGTTGTGCTGCTGCCGGCCTTCTCTGCAGCTGCTGCCGAAGTCAATCAGCTTCACTGTGCTCTTGCGCCCCGCCACGAGCGCTATGTTCTCGGGCTTCAAGTCGCAGTGCACGATCTTGGCTTTGCGCAGCAGCCGCAGCGCCTGCAGCAGCTGAATGGCCACGCTGCGCACGGCCAGCGGCGAAAAGCCTTGGAACTTGTTGTGTTTCAGAAAAGCATACAAGTTGTGACTCAGCAGTTCAAAAGTTAACACCAAGTGGCCCCGAAACATCATGCTTTCCCCCATGTGCACCACGTGGGCTTTGCCCGCCTGGTCCAGCGCAGCCAGCTGCTGCAGCACGTTCACTTCTTCCCGGCCTTGTGCATGGAAGTTGCTTTTGTTTTTCAGAATCTTCACTGCAACTTCTTCTCCAGTTTTGTGGTCTAAGGCTCGAAACACTTGGCCAAAAGACCCAGTTCCCAGAGTCTGCAGCAGCTGAAATCGGTAGCAAATGTGGTCGTTTTGAGACACAATGTAGTCCCCGTCCGCGTCGCAGAAGTAGCTGCATGCGCTGTTGCTCGTCGCGTTCATTAGCTGCCGGTTGCTGCTGCTCATCCGCTGGCCCCCCACGCTGCTGCTGCTGCTGTTGCTGCACGGGCTCCACGCATCTGCAGCAGCAGCAGCTTCCTCGGACTCACCCCCAGCTCCTTCGCGGCACCCCTGCGCCGCCCGCTCCGCTGCCTCCCCAGCAGACGCAGTAGCAGCAGCAGCATCCCCAGCAGCAGCACCCGCTGCAGCAATTGCTGCAGCAGCAGTGTAGGGGCCCCCGTACAGCGAAGCCTGCTCTCCTCCCGCAGGCCTTTCCCGAAGAGCTCCCCAGTACCAAACTACAGGATATTCCAAAACTTCTCTGCATTCCCAAGGAGTTAGCTGCCAGCCAAAGTGCTGCAGCACAGCAGCAGGAGAAAGCGGCGGCGAGCAGCGCACTGCTGCTTCCCGCGGAGTCGAAGACACTGCCTGTTGCCGACCCAGTGCTGCTGCTGCCCCAACTCCTGCTGCTGCTGCTGCTGCTGTTGCTGTTGAAGCTGCAGAACCCTCAGCACTCACTGTCCCTCGAGATGTCACCCGAGTGCTTTGACTGTCGTTGTGACTCAGCCCCATAGATCCGCGCAGCTTTTCGCGCTTCAGTGAGGCTCTCTGCTGCTGGTGCTGCTGCTGCTGCAGCTGCAGGGAGGGAGACTGCGAAACAGAACACGGGCTTGCTGCAGCGTCTGCTGCTTCACCTGTGTGCCCCAAGTTGCTTCCATCTGCTGCAGCGGAAGAGTGACTTGTGGGGTCCCGCTTCCTGGCTACGACGCGGGCAGGCCGGTTTGAGGGCGCCGGCTGTTCTGCTGCTGCTGCTGCTGCTGCTGCTGCTGCTGCTGCAGCGCGTCTTGCAAGTGCTGCTGCCTCTGGCTTGATGCTGCCCACGAACTGCTGCGCCACACGAGATAGCTGCGGCTGCGAGCGGCGCTGCTGCAGCAGAAAGGTTTCGACCACTTCTTCGTCTTCTGGGTTAGCTGTGGCAGCCTGTGCTGCTCCTGCTGCTCCCTTGCTCGCCGCTGCTGCTGCAGCATTTGCTGCACTTGAAGTAGCTCGCTGCCTCAAAATGCGGCTGTAGATGCCTGATGTTGCTGTCCTGGACGTCAGGCGCACCAGGCCATCCTGATGGGGGCGCTGCTGCTGCTGCTGCTGCTGCTGCTGCTGCTGCTGCTGTTGTTGTTGCTGCTGCTGCTGCCTTGCTTCGCCGCTCGACGCTACCCAGTCTGCGTCCCCTGCTCCGTCTACATACGAAGGCTTTCTTTGGGGAGGCGCTAGGGGCCTCGGCGATGCCTTTGGGTGCGTCCCCCGGGCAGCTGCTGCTGCAGCTGCTGCTGCTGCAGCTGCTGCTGGGGCTTGGGTTGCTGCTTTTGCTGCCTCTGTTGCCCCCTCTGGTAGTGTTGCAGCAGCAACAGGGGAGGGGGGACTGTGTGCTGCTGAAGCGCCTTCATCTGCCGACTCGTCTGCCCTTAGTGCAGACTCGAACAGGTTGGGTCCCACGTGGCGGCTGCTGCTGCTGCTGCTGCTGCCGCTGCAGCTGCGAGCCCTCGTGCTGCTGCCTCCTTCATTCGTAGTTGCTTCCCACGCAGCCAAATGCTGCACAGTAGATGCAATCCCATGCTGCTGCTGCTGCAGCGGGACACAAGCAGCAGCAAAAAGACCCTCTCGGGCGCCGTCGCTTCTTGCAGCTCCGGCTGAAGAGGCTCGCACTTGCTGCGCTGCGGCTGAGGCCATGGGATGCTGCTGCTGCTGCTGCAGCTGCTGCTGCAGCAGCAGCTGCTGCTGCGCGTGCTGCGAGCTCGCCCCTTCAGTTGATATTACAGAGGCAAACGACTCAAGGCACTGAGTGTGGCCTTGGCGCTCAAACTCCTGTGCATTATCGCGTTGCGGCTGCGGCTGCTGCTGCTGCTGCTGCTGCAGCTGCAGCTGCTGCTTCTTCTGTGCTAATGAAATGCCTGAAGAGGGCTTGTAGCCAAAAGGAATAGTTGCCTCCGAGCTGCATAAGGAAGTGACGCTTGTGCCTCCTATGCTGTTGTATGCTTCGCTGTTGCTGGTAAGATGGCCCGCAGCAGCTGCTGCAGCACGAGCAGCAGCTGCTGCTGCTGTTGCTAGCGAATGTCTTTGTCCCGCGGGCAGCCGAAAGTTTTCCATCGGTTGGTGCTGCGCAGCAGCAACCGCCTCCCGCAGGCCGTCTTCAAAGGCCAGCAGCAGCAACAGCTGCTGCTGCTGCTGCTGCTGCTGCTGCCGCCCTTGATGGACCTCCCGTGTGAACGCACCGAGCACGCAACAGGAGTGAGGAAGCAATTCACAACGGTCTCGTGCTGTTGTTGCTGTTGCTGCTGCTGTTGCTGTTGCTGCTGCTGCTAAGTCCACATCGCACTTGTTTCCCGCCTCGCCACTTCCGCGGGCAGGCACAAGAAGACGGCTGAAAAGCCCTTCCAGCAGCAGCAGCAGCTGCAGCAGCAGCAGCACGGATGAAGCAGCAGCAGCACGACGCCTTCCAGTGAGACGAGGCACTGTCTACCCGCCGCCAAGTTGCTGCTCCCCTTGTGAAGCAGCAGCAGCAGATCAGCTCGAGCCCCGCCTGCTTCCGAGGCCAGAGATCTGCAGGGTATTTAGCTTCTGCTGCTTTTCCTGCGTAGAGCCGCTGCTGCTGCTGTTTTCCGCTGCTGCGGCTGCTTTGGCTTCTGCAGCAGCAACACACTGAGCAGCAGCTGACTCCGCAGGACACCCCCCGCAGTCTTGAATGTTTTTCAAAAGAAAGTCAAATACGTAAAAGTCTCAGTCGCACAGCGACAGCAGAGCTTGCTGCTGCAGCAGCAAATGCAGCAGCAGCAGCAGCAGCAGCAGCGGCGGGAGCAGCAGATCAGCCTGGCCCACAGTCTGGTAGATAACGCTCGCTCCCTGCAGCACAAAGCTCGGGAGAGACTAAATTTTGAAAACAAATAGTAAAAATAAAGGAAGCAAATTCTGCTGCTGCTGCTGCAGCTGTGTGTGGGTCGCCTGCTGCTGCGTCGATGCACAGCAGCAGCAAGGGCTGCAGAGTGACCTGTCCGACGCGGGAGAGGATCACTTGCTGCTGTTGCTGCTGCTGCTCTCAGCTGCAAATATAAATTCAGTTTCTCACATTTGATGTTTATTTTGCTTTTAATTTGGGAAGAGAGCTGCAGCAGCAGCAGCTGCTGCTGCTGAGGCACTGTTGCATGTATGCCTCGGCGGCTCGTCGCGGCTTCTGTGTTCGTGCTGCTGCAGCAGCTGCTGCTGCTGCCATTGCTGCTGCCACTCCCGTTGCTGCTGCACTCAGCAGCAGCAGCCCTACCTAGTCCCTCTGCCATAATTTTCCCCTTAATTTAATTACTATTAAAGGGACTATCGCAAGAAGACGTCGGTGGCCGTGTCTTCAGCAGCAGCAGCAGCAGCAGCGCATCAGCAGCAAGTCGAAGCTGCCGCTCCTCGATTGCTTGCGTGGTCTTTGCTGTGTCTGCTGCTGTTGCTCTCTCTCTTTCTTCCTTCTCTGGCTCTTGCTGCAGTATTTATTCCTGTTGCTGTTCCAGGAGTCAAAAGGGACTGGCAGCATCGCAGCAGCAGCAGCAGCAGCAGCAGCACGGGCCTCAACTGCAGCACGACGATTCCGCCGATCTTTCCTTCTGCGTCTCGGAGCCTTTTGCTTCGAATTTAGAAAATAAAAAGCAGAAAAAGAGTCTTCACTGTTTGCTGCTGCCTGTCACAGCCTTGGGGGTCTCGGGGATCGCTGCCCGGGGGTTCAGTGTCTTGCTGCTGCTGCTGGAGCAGCAGCAGCAGCAGCTGCAGCAGCTGCTGCTGCCGAGAGTGCTGCAGTAACCGGAGTTGGTGGCGCTGACTCATTGGATTGGTGCACGGGTTTGGCGTGTCCACTGCAGCAGCATCTCTCGCCCCCCAGCAGCAGCAGCAGCAGTAGCGACAGAAGCTGCAGCCGCGAAAACGAGAGCGGCAGCAGCAGTAGCAGCAGCAGCAGCGCCCGCTCCAGGGCAAGCTGCGCTGCAGCAAAGCAACCGCAGCAGCTGCAGTTACCGCTGCAGCAGCTGCAGCGGGAAGGCTGCGTGGCTGCTGGCTTTTGGTGCTGCTCCATTGCAACGTAAACAGACTTTGTTTTTGAATTTGTTTTTTGAATTTTTGTTTTTTAATTTGTTTGATTTTTGTTTTTAATTTTTGCTTTCTAATTTTTGTTTTTAATTTTTGTTTTGTGTCAGCTGCCGGAGTTGCAGTGCTGCTGCTCCGGGGTGTCTGCACAGCTGGAGATTAAATGAATTTTCTTTTTTCTTTTTTTGATCCTTTCCGCAGAAATAATTAAAAGTGCTGCAGTTTGCTGCAGTTCGGAGAAGCAAAGAAGTGCTGCAGTTTGCTGCAGTTTGGAGAAGCAAAGAAATGCCGCAGAAGCTTCAGGTGTACATACACCTGGTGAGCTGTACGTACACCCGAAGCCTCTGTGAGAGTCGCCTCGTCGAAGCAGCAGCAGCAGCAGCAGTTTCTGTGCACATGCGCAGCAAATTAGTATTTTAAAAAACACATTTCGGAATTTGAAATGGAGAATTAAATTTAATTCCGCGGCGCCCATATTGGGGTGTACGTACACCTGCCGGACTGCTGCTCCTTGAGTTTTCATTTTGTTCCTCTTCGCTGCGTTGCAGACATAGAAAGTATATATAGATATATATTTATATATATTTAGAAAAAGCAATAATAACTGCATTCTATGTAAATATAGAAATTATTATTTCATCTCCTCAAATGTGTATTTGGGGGCATAAGATCTTCCCCACATGAAGCTGTGTGATGAGGTGTACGTACACTCCGCGGGCGCGCGGGCTTCAATTCTCTTCTGCTGCAGCGGCTCAGCCGCTGCTGCTGCTGCTGCTGCTGCTCCCGGCGGCGCTGCAGCAGCCAAGGCTTAAATCCATTTAAATGAAAAACCAAAAATTTGGTTTTGTTGCTGCACTCCCCGCTTGGGCTGCTGCAGCAAAGACACTACCCAGCCCCTCCCAGGGCCCCGGCCAGCCCCACATGCGTGCATGCACGCATGCATGCATGCACGCGGGGCCAGATGCATGCATGCATGCACGCATGCATGCATGCATGCCATGCGTGTGGGGCCCTGTGTTGCTGCTTCTGTCTCGGGGTGCAGCAGGAAAGAGCCCTCAGCGGGGGTTTCCCGTGACTCCCAAACCCTAAACCCTAAACCCTCGAAACTAACCCCCAGGAGTCCTGCTGCAACACCGCTACAAAGAAGGCACTGAATTGAAGAAAGCAATACCTGCAGCAGCAGCTGATAAAGCAGCAGCAGCTGCTGAAGCAGCAGCACCAGCAGCCGCCTTCGCAGCAGCAGCAGCTGCTGTCCTCTCAGCACCCCCTGGTTATTATCAGTAACAGCTAGCAGCAGCAGCAGCAGCAGCAATAGACGCTGCAGCACTTTAGACTGCCCTTGTGTGCCGCTGCTGCTTGATGGGCGCGGCTGTACTCATATTGAATCTACTGCTGCTGTCGTTGCTGTTGCTGCTGCTGCTGCTACCCTCACGCTGCTGCTGCTGCTGCTGCTGCTGCTGTAGTTGTCTGCACATGTCAGCTAATAGGCACCACCCGTGAGCCCCCTCTGTGCTGGGGAGTGGCCACGGCCCCGCTGCTGCTTATGCTGCTTCTGCCGCTGCGACTTTCAGCAGCAGCAGCAGCAGCAGCAGCAGGGTCTGCACCACTCAGGTTTTTGTTGAGGGGGAAAGTTATAAAAGCAAAAAAGGGAGACCGACACACGGGGCACTTCTCCTGGTGCAGCGCTTGGAGGCATTCGACGCAGAGTGCGCAGTGCCTGCAGCAGCAGCAGCAGCAGCAGCAGGAAGTCGCACAGCAACAAGTCACAGGCAAAGAGCGACAGCGGAGGGCAGCAGCAGCAGCACGCAG